TCCTAACAAAGAGTGAGTTTTTACAAAGCTAGCAGGGGTTATGGCCAAGCCTTGTCTGCCAACCATGGGGGAGTTTCAGGAAATGCAGAAGAGATGATGTGACCGTTTGGTGGGTGCCACGTGGTAACCTTCAGGGAACAGAGGGGCATTCAGCAGGTGACCCCAGTGTATTACTAGGTTACCGTTATGGGCAAATTTGTAGGTGACAAAACTCCAGCTGATGCTGGGGGTGGGGAGGGGGACCCTGAGGGACTTTGTGGGTTTGTGCTTCTGGTTTCCTGGCCACCCTGTGTCACTTGTCAGGAGGCCCAGGCATGTGGCAATGATGTCAGCCACTGACTATGTTAAGGTACATAAATGACTCCTCTATTTGGGAGAGATCTTCTAATAGGGAGGAGTCCATTTTAGACCACTCAGTAAAGTCTCCATGGCAGAAGTGGCTGATGAGATCATCTGGATATAGTCAGGCCCTGACTCTCCCTGCTGTGCTCCTCCTCTGCTCACTTTTGATGGTGGCCTCTGGGTACTGGGACAGAGTCTCTGGGACACCAGCCTCACTGGGGTTCTCAGCACAGCCCGTTTGGGCTGTGGCCCTGGCTCTGTTCCATTTTGTTGCCCAGGCCCAAGTGAGACATTTGCCTCTGTCCCAGAGGACAGCTCCCCACCTGTGGCTTCATCCGAGGTGTTCTTGTGGACCGTGGCCAGCAAGCTCACCCTTTCCAGAAGTAGGCCCTGCTGCTTGAGAAACACAGGCCCTGCTGCTGTCTGACCTGGGGCCTAGCATGGTGGGAGTCTCAGCCAGTCAGTGACAGGCCTTGTTCTATTTACTTCTGTAACAATCTAGAAGTATCCACCCGTGGGGACATAGTTCTTTAAACTGAGGAAATGTTGCAATAAAAGAATGTTATAAGAAAGACACTGGATCTTTTATTTTTTCCTTTCATTTTTTTTTTCTTTAAAAAACAAAATGAAACAAAAAAAAGCCTGAAGCAAAAACTCTTGAGGAGTAGTTACAGATATTATGGGGGTGGGGGTGGGGGGCACTAAACAAAAGAGAAAAGCACCAGTGAAATGTCTTTCCCATTTTCTTCTCTCCATGGGATGCAGACAACCAACAAAGCCCGAGTCACTTTTATGTCCTTTTCCCTTGGAAAAAGGAGGAACAGAAGATTTAAGGATTTTGAAAGGATTTTTTTGTGAGTGTGTGTAAAAGTCAATGCTATAAATCTAAAACGAGGTCTGTTTTTTTTTAAAAAGTTCTAAAACAACAGGAAGGACACATGGAAAGAACCCCTGCGTGGAGACCTGGTTAATTACGACTGAGGCTCTTTCCGAGGAGCAAACGCAGAGGGCTCCTTCCGGGCAGCACCCGCTCCCGCTGCCTCCACCGCCTGCTGCCCTTCCAGCCCCTGCAACTCCCCTGCCGCACCCTTCCTCTCTCCTTTTAAAAAATAAAACCCCACTCTGGTGACTCTAATCCTCCGGTGGTCCCTGCTGGGGGGGCGCAGCAGCTACTTGGTGTCGAGCTTGGCCATCTCCTGCACGTAGATGCCGATGCTCTCGCTGTCAAAGAGCAGGAAGTACACGTTCTTCAGCGAGGATGCACTCGAGTCGTCGAAGTGGGACGAGATTGCTTTGAGGGTCACCTGGGCTGCCGTCTGTTTGGGAAAGCAGTTTCTGTGCCAAAGCAAGAGAAGAGCCAACATCATTT